TAGGCCCTTTTCCGTTCTCTTTTTTCAGTATCAAGTTAAAGCTACTCAACTATGCCTTCTTATAAAAGAGAGAGTACTAATATTAGAAGAAAAAAAAGTTGTCGTGATACAAAATAGCAAATGCAGGTAACAATGTATGAGGAAGACGAACTAGAGAACAGAAAGAAAGATTTTCATTGAAGAGGAAATCAGTACATAGTGAATTGAATTACTTGGAGAAGTTCTCCCTTATATACACATGTAATTCTATCCTACTGATAGCTCTATAAAGCATTATCTAACAAACAAACTAACTGAATTTATTAGGAATCTTCTAGTGTTAACTAACTAAGTTTAGCACTAATGATCAACTAATCTGTTTTATCTTAAGTAACAACTCCAATTTCATACTCCCCTCAAGCTGACTGGTGTGAATTATTATATTATTATTATTTATTTATATTATTATAAGTGGGAAGTTTCTAATTTAAAAATTGAATTACAAATATATCCTTCAACGAAAAATAAGATCTTCTTTAAATAAATAGTTGTAATATAATTCTATATTTATTAAGCTTTAATTGTTTTGTATAACAAAATAATAAATGAAAAATAAAAAAGTCAAAGAGACGCCAGATAATAATTTTTATACTTGAAAACTTTTGATTTTTTGTGTTAGAGAAAAGAATCCTTTCCTCTCTTCATTTGCTTTTTTTTTTAAAATAGACCAATAACTCTCTAAATCATTTAATCTTTCCTCTTCCACAATATCAATAACTCTCTAAATTATCTAATTTTTCATTTTTTCCTATTTATTATTCCATTAAATCGTAAGTTAATATATAATTATATATATTGAATGGAAGATGAATGAACTTCTTGAATATACCAATTCATATTCTTTTTTGTGCACTTGGTATAATTTATATAAATGTATATTATCGTATAAGGTAATAGAGCTGCTTCACTTTAGTTGCAACGTCATATTATGATTTTTATTGCCTCATTTTCTTTTCATTGCTTTAATTTTTTTTTCTTTTTCATGTTTGATGTAGTGTATTTCCTTGCTTATAACATGACATTTAAGTGAATACTTTTACTTCCACATTATTCTCATTTGTAAATCATAAGGTATGTGCGTTTAAATTCTTAGTTATCACTGATCTTTTAATAATGTAGATGCATTTTTAGTTTGATTTTTTTACTGTTTATTGAGTTTTAGAATTGGAGTGATAGTTCCTTCAAAAATTATTAGTAAAAGACATTCCAAATATCGTAAAAAAGATATATTTAGAGTTGATTTATATTTTAAGCACATTTAAATGTTGCATATGATTGTTAAAGTCCTTTCTCATTTTCTATTTCTGTTTTCACTCTTAAAAAGATAAAAAAGTATTTCTTTCCTAATGTAATCGCCATTCCTTTGCCTTCTTTCTTCATATAAAGAACTACAATAATGGATACGAGGAGAGAAATGAAATATACATTTTGCACTTTAAATAAGTAATTGATATTTGGCGTGTCAAACAAATAGTCAATATAACCTCTAGTTTTAGCGATAAAGTTTGGTTATTTTTTATAGAGTATAATTTATTTTCACCATTATAAATTAATTACATACGCTTTAAATTCATTGTAATACAATGTAAATCATCTTGCTTATTATTGATTATTTATATTTATGTATTAACTTTTCTCATAATCTATTTATCTCCCTTTGCCTCAAAACATTGTTGTTAGATATATAAGTTAATGATATTATTTTGTTTCTTTTGTTTTCCATGCTACTATATTTTATGTGTCAATTTAGCCATCAAATTTTGGTAAAATATTAATGACCCGTGAAATTTATTCTTAAAAAGTTCGGTGTTTTCAAAGTTATTTCCTTACCTATTTTAATAAGTAATTATATAAATTTTAAGAATATTGAATATTTATCTATTAAAGCGAAGGAAATTACTCTGACATGCATTTTCTCACATCTTCATGTTATCTATTGTACTTCAGACTTTTCTATAGCAATCACTTGTTATGTGTTTTATTAATAGTAACTCTCTGAGATGTAATTTAAGCGAGTTTAGAGCCTAAATGATAAAAAAAAATTGATAAAAAATTTAAAAGGATATATTAAAAAAAATTTATAACCAAAAGATAAAATCGCTATTGACATAGCCATTTATTTTAACGCCGTTAACACATGAAAATTGCTGTTTTATGAGTGATTTGTCTATTTTTTTAAAAAAAAATCGCTATCTCTGCAGCATTTTTGCAAAAACTATTTTTAAAAAAAGTTTAAAATCGCTCCTATGAAACCGTTTTATTGAAAAGTATTTTTTTAATTGAAAATCGCTGCCTTAGCAACGATTTTCCTTAATTTCTTTTTAGAATTTTTTTTTTGAAAAATTGTTGTCAAGGCAACGATTATAATGAATTGGATTTTTTTTTAAAAAAAAGGATGAAATCACTATGTTGGCAGCTGTATCAGTTTTTTTTTAAGAGGATTTTTTAAAATATATTTTTATTTAATTCTTTCAACTATCATTTTTGAAATTGTAAATTTTGTGAACTTCTTTTTTTTTTTTTAATTTTGTCAATACTTTTGTAATTTTTATTTTATTTTATAAATTGGCTGGAATATAAAAAAGTATAATACGACTTAAAATTATAATTAATTGGAATATTTATAAAATAAATAAAAATTTAAAAAGTATTGAAAAATTAAAAAAAAAAGTTTACAAAAAATGCCTGCCAAGTTACATTTCAAAATTGTTACAATCTTTTTTTTAAAAAAAAAAACTCTAAAATCGCTACTAGTTAGCGATTTCATTTTTTTTAAAAAAAAATCCAATTCACTAAAATCATTGCCAAGACAACGATTTTTAATTTTTTTAAAAAAATTATTAAAAATAAAAATGCTGCCATAGCAATAATTTTAAACTTTTTTTTTAAAAAAAATGCAAAAATGCTACAGGGGTAGCGATTTTAAAAGAAAATTGGAGCTGTTAACGACGTCAAAATAAATTGCTACCTCAGTAGCGATTTTACTCTTTTGGTTAGAAATTTTTTTGATGTATCCTTTTGGATTTTTTATCAATTTTTTTTACACTTTAGACTCCGGACTCTAATTTAAGCTTTTTTCCTTGATTTTGTGGCAGAACGACACTATTATATTTTATAGTATATATAGATAATATAGCACATTTACATCACAAGAACGCCTAGACTATTCTACAAAATGAACTTATAATCTTCTTTGTTACATTTTCTATTTCTCATTACATAAATGTGTTATAACATATAATATCATTCGAATAAGTCTATACAAACAAGTGAGAAATCTCTATGTAGAAAGTTGAATTACAAAAATGTCCTTATTATATCAAAATATTTATGGACAAAAATGTAAAATATACATTATTTATAAATAAAAACTATTGTATTTTCTATTAAACACTATTACTACATATTTATGAACAAAAATATAAATACACATTAATTACAATAAATATCATAATATATTTAAAATACAAAATTAATATTTCAAAAATGGAGAACTCACCATGTATGACATAAATTAATCTAAGATACGATGAACATTTGTACAATTGGATGATATCCTATTAAATGACAAAAGAAAATCAAAAGTTTTTGTAACAGTTAATATAAATGACCCTTAAGTATACCTCAATTTACTCCTTCCGTGCAAATGTATACAATTTTAATTGAATTATATTCATAACATTATATTAAATGCTAAGTAATTGCTTCAATAAACACTTACAATGGAAGTTTGCAATTGTTGGACTTTCAATTTTCTTCTGTTATAATTAACACAAACTAATGATGAAATATATATTTGGTAAATTAATTAAATTTATCTTTAGAAATATATATATATATATATATATATATATATATATTAAAAAAGTGAGAACAAAAATAGTTAAATGCTGAAAATATTTTTATAAAGTTGAGTTACTATAATAATATCATTATTAATTATTTCACTAAAAATGGATGCAAAAAAAATTAAAAGTTAAAATACTAAAATAATCCTACAAAGTTGAGTTATTATTCATAAATAATTAATATCCATGATAGTAATGGATCAAATATTCGTTTACCATTTTATCGCTGAAGCAGAACAAATCTTCATTTAAATAACCTTTTGTTTATATAAGAAAATGTAACAAAATTCATTAGCCCCTCAATTTCAATGAATCCAAATAATATATTAATGCTTTTTGATAATGCTTACTAGCCCCTCAAATTCAATGAATCCAAATAATATATTAATGCTTTTTGAAAATGTTTACTGTCATAATTTTATTTATCTCTTTCACCTTCTTCTTCACTACATGTTTAGAACAAAAACGTTTCGGCAGGTGAGCAAGGCATTATGTAATAACAATTAATTATGGCCAGGTCACATGTGTATAGGTTTCCTAAATTATTTCACTCGTCAACTTTTCTTTCTATTATCTTCCATAGAATCTTTTTTACGTTCTTCATTTATATTAACATTAAATTTCTTGAGTTTTACTGGTTGTACATAGGTTTACTTTTATCTTCTTCATGATATTTATTCTGGTCAATCTTTTAATATTCTTTAAAATACTCTATATAGTGCATCATAAGGTGTATTTGTCCCATTATTTCATTTGCCTTTTTTCTATTAGGCTAGCACCATTTCACTTCTTTTAGTATAATATGTATTTCTGAAAAGCTTATATTGTAATAAAACTCATATTCAGATAGAAATAATTGATCCATGAAATCCTTTGCATATTTGGACTTTGAAGAGTGGAAATGGACTATGTTTGGAGCACACATATTCACATTTGATTGTGTGTGTTTGTGTAGCTTAAAATTGTATGGAATACACGTGCAAAGCACGTGTTCAAGGACTAGTACATTCAAAAGGCCTAGCTTGGATACTAAGTACTCATGTTGTGACCTGATCAATCCTTTTGTCATTATATCCACCTATTGTTCAAGTGTTGTTAAATATAGTGGTCTGATCAATCCCTTTTGTATCTTCTCTCGAATAAAATGACAATCATCTCTACGTGTTTTTTCCTCACATGATATACTGGACTTGCTGCTCTTTGCAGAGCTGCTTTGCTGTCACAGAAAAGATCCACTGACTCCAGTTCCTCTCCAAGTTCTTTAAACAATGCAATGATCCATACTAACTCTAAAACAGTAGATGCCATACTTTTGTACTCTGATTCTACCGAGTTCCTTGAAATAGTTGTCTGTTTCTTTGACCTCCATGATATTAAAGAACCCCCATACTTGATCAAGAACCTTGTCACAGATCTCCTTGTGTTGGGACATGATGCCCAATCAGCATCACAATATGCTACTAATTTGTTCTCCCTCTTACTGCTGAACAGAATACCCCTTGCAGACTCTATTGTTACATATCTAACAACCTTATAGCAGCTTCCATATGTGACTTCTTTAACCCCTATAAGAATTGACTCAATGTCTGTACTGCAAACCCAACTTCTGGCTTTCAATGTCAAATATAATAGTCTCCCAATTAGTCTTTGATACGATCCTATATCTGTTAATAAAGGATCATCTGTTACTCCTGCTGCTTTGTCTACCTCGACTGTTGTTAATTTCAACTTGTTATCTAAAGGTGTCCATGATGGCATGGCACCAGTCAATCCTAATTATTCTATAATTTCTAATGCATATTTTCTTCGGTTCATTAGTATCCCTTTGGATGATCTACTGAATTCTATCCCCAAAAAATACCTTAGAGTACCAAGGTATTTGATTTTGAATTTAGCATGTGGTTCTTCCTTAGTTTGATCAATCAACCTTAGGTCACTACCAGCTACTAACATATCATCCACATATACCAACACTACTACAATATGTCCATGAAGTCTTTTGATGAATAATGAGTGATCCAAACTACTCAGCACAAAACCAGAAGCTATTAGTGCATCAGTGAGTTTCACATTCCACTATCTGCTAGTTGGCTTAAGGACATATAAGGACTTTACTAGCCTGCAAACCAATCTTGAGTTCTCCCCCAGGCTAGAAAAGCCCCCGGGAAGAGACATGTAAACCTCATCATATAATTTACCTTGCGAAAAGGCATTGTATACATCCAACTGGTGAATGTGCTAGCCTGAAGCAGCAGCAATAAACAAGACATTTCTCACTATAGCAATTTTCACAATTGGGGAGAAAGTGTCCTGATAATCCAAACCAGCTCTTTGATTGTATCCCTTGGCAACCAACCTAGCCTTGTACCTTTTCCAATCACCATTTGCTTTGAATTTCACCTTATATACCCATTTGCAGCAAATGGAAACTTTACCATGGAGCAAAGGAACTAACTCCCAAGTATCATTAGCTTCCAAATCCTATATCTCTTCCTGCATTGCTGAGACCTAATGGTCATTTCTACATGCTTCCCTATAAGATGTAAGCTCAGAAATGCAAGAGAAGGCATATATGTATGATTGATAATGTGAGGACAAATGAACATAGATCAAGGACTGTGAGAGTGGATAATAGAGTGGATAAAGTGTAGATCCAACAACTGCATTAGTAACAAAGTCAATCATCCAGGAAGGTTGTTTCCGTGGTCGAGTAGATTGTTTGGTGATCTCAACCTCAGAATCAGATATAATAGAATCATCTATAAGTGTTATTCCTGGAGAATCTGGTGGTATAACTGGCTGAAAAACATCAGCTGCATCATCTGTTAAACACAACTTGAGAGGAAACATGAGCTTTAAAAGGAAAAATCTCTTCCTTAAAAGTCACATCTCTAGAAATAAAGAAGTTATGAGTGTCCAAGTTGTACTAAACATAAACCTCAGAGACATCTGAGTATCCATATTAACAGCAGACATTGCTCTTGGTGCAAATTTATCCCCTGGTGGCAAGATTTTTGCATAACACAAACAACCTAAAGTCTTGAAATGATCTAAAGACCCTCTACAGCCATGAAACACTTCAAACCTTGACAATCTGTTCATCATATAAACAACACCCAATACACAATGTCCCCAGAATTTCAATTGAATCGAACCTTGAAATCTAATTTCTCTAGCTAACTCCAGAATATGTATGTGCTTTCTTCCACCACCCCATTCTGTTGTGGGGTGTAAGAACAATATTTTTGGTGTGTGATCGAATAGAAATAAAAAATAACATTCTGAATTTACAAATTCAGTTCCATTTTCTGACCTCACTAACTTTATAGTTTTACCAAACTGATTTAACATTAACTGATGAAGGACCTCATAGTTATAACAATATCACTCTTTACCTTCAATAAGTTGACCCAAGTCGTTCGAGAATAATCATCCACATTGGTGAGAAACAATTTATTATCATCGAAAGTAGGTACATGAAAAGGTCCCCAAACATCTAAATGCAGTAAATCAAAAACAAAAGTTGCTCTAGAATTACTGACAGGAAAAGACATTTAGTTTGTTTAGCAAGTGGACAAATTTCACAACTATCTAGAGTATTTTTATATTCACTATGATCCAGATTAAACTGTTGTTTCATAGCTTCAACGGATGCATTACCCAATCTCATGTGCCACAACAAGATGTCAACTTTATTCTTAATTGTTGTTCTCTCCAAGTGGTTGATTGTTAGTGTGGATTGGTTATTTATGTTGCATCACATATAGTGCCTCATGTTCTTCACCAATCTCTAACACCTTCCCACTTGAGAGATCCAGGAATTTGCAAAAGTTAGGGAAGAAGGTGACTGAACATTGCTACTCCTTAGATAGGCTGGAAACAGACATTAGATTAAATCTAAAATCTTGAATGTGGAGAACATTGCTCACTGTTTGTCCATCAATAACTTCACAAGTACCAATATTTGAAACAACTACTGAACCACCATTGGGTAAATGAACCTGTCTATTACTATCACTAACATGAATTTTCACTTCATTTGTCAACATATTCTTATCAGAGATCATGTGATTAGAGGTTCCAGTGTCTATGATCCAAGTCTCTTTAGATGAATCTATAGGAGGATAAGACATATTACCTGCATGTGAAGCAAAGACATTACCTCCCATGTTGGTTGAGTCTGCAAAATTGCTTATGTTAGCTAAAGATTCTCTCACATTCTCCTTGCTAATTAACCTCTGAAACTGAGCATGATGTTGTAGATTATCCATGTGATGTTGCATATGATTGTACTGATTTTGAGCATAGTTGGAAAGATCTGGTCTGTATACCAATCTCCTGAATGCGTACCAGAAGAACTTCCCCCTATATGATCATGAGACATCATTCTAATATTATTATGGTTAGGTAGATCCCTGTTGAATTTATTGTAAGAAGCTCGACTAGTTCCTCCCAGCATCGTTCTTCAGAAAATGAGCCTGAGTTTCTGTCCTCTGATCTCCTCCCGTTTTTGTCCTCTGATCTCCTCCTCGTACATTAGGGTCATTCTGATTTCCAAATTTCTTATTAAACTTGAAATCTAGTGGATAGCCAATGTGTCTATAACAGTCGCCTCTGGCACGACCCATGTTTTTGCAGTAATCACATTGAACATTCCAATTTTTCTAAACTTAGGATGTGGTGTGTTCCTTTCGATTGTAAAGCAGCGATATCCATATCGTAGTAGACCTCGTAACATTTGTCATATTCTTTGTCTCTCTCTTTCAATTATCATCGAGTATGCCTGATTTACAGAAGGAATTGGGATAAGCATCCAAATTCTACCTCTAGCCTGTTTATATGTTTCATTCAACCCCATCAGAAATTGCATCAACTTTTGTCTGCTCATAAATTCTACAAAACCTCGTGAACCTTTTCAATTACAATTGGGAAATGGAGCTAAACAATCAAATTCTGCCCAACATAGTCATAATTTTGTGAAATACTTAGAAATGCTGCCTGTTCCTTGAGACAGAGTCACAATTTCTCTATGTAGTTGAAAATCCTTGAAGAATCCGCCTTGTCAAATCTTTATTTAAGATCGTTCTACACTGCACAAGCATCAGATGAATACACGATCCCATTTAAAAATTTATTCGAAACATAATTCATGATCCATGAGAGCACTATTGCATTGCAACGTCCCTGCAGATCCTTCATATTTGGACCAAAATTCTCTTTTCTACATTTTCCATCGATTAATCCCAACTTGTTTCGTCCAAGTATGGCAATTATCATCGATCAACTCCATACAAAATAATTTTCCAATCCTGTTAATTGAATAGAGACTGGAACCACTCCAGATGTATCGGAAGTGTTCAAATACAATGAATGGTTGTGGCCTAATTTCTCAGGCAGTTCATTATGAACTTCTAATGCCATTGATTCTCCAGCTCCTTCTACTGTTTACGCACCTAATCTAGACCATATTAAAGGGCACAATGCTTTGATACCACGTGAAATTAGATCCTAGTCCTAACTCTAATGAAGTTGGAGCTGTTACTTCAGATAAAATAGATCAGTAGATCATTAGTACTAAAATTAGTTAGTTAACACTAGAAGATTCCTAACAGATTCAATTAGTTTGTTTGTTAGATAATGCTTTACAACTTTCAATAGGATAGAATTACATGTGTATATAAGGGAGAAGTTTAGTGTATTCTCCAAGTAATTCAATTCACTATGTACTGATTTCCTCTTCAATGAAAACTTTTCTTTCTGTTCTCTAGTTCGTCTTCCTCATACATTGTTACCTGCATTTGCTATTTTGTGTCATGGTATCAGAGAAGGGTCCGTCTCACCCGATGTTAGGACCTCCAAAATCGAAATTGTCCACACATGTTAAAGAATGACAAAAGTCCACATCGGTGGTTCATGAAATGGGTGGACTCACGTTTGGACAATCCTTCTCCCTTTAAGCTAGCTTTTGAGGTGTGAGTTAGCATTAAGAACTAATTTCACATCTCTATATGTAAAGTAAGACTCATAATTATCAAATGTAGCATACTATTTTTCTTCAAAAAAATATAAATCATATTATGAATCTCGTTTAAGACATGTTTTTTTTTCTTATAATTTTGTATTTGATTATAGATATAAAATATGTATATAGTTTTATGAATCTTATATAAAATTTAAATTAAGTTTTTTTGGAAAATTCATGCCTTGAATCTCGCTCAAGACATTCAATCTCACCCACGTTTTTTTTTATATATATATACTTAAGATTTTATACAACTACAATAAAATTTTATACTACTTTCATATAATACTTATTTAAATTTACTACAATTCAAATAACATACAAATTTAAAGTACTTTTTTATACAACTTAACAAACAATTATAATACAAATTTGATATGATTCAACTATAACTTCGAACTTCAACAAATTAGGATTGAAACCCAGTCCAAAATTATCTGAAATTTTACCAAATATTTTTAATTTTTATATTTGAACTCTTCTTGATGTTCTACCCTTTTTGAGATATTACCACTCGATTTATAACAAATTAATTTTCAAACTTGAGCTTCTGAAAATTGAGGGAAAAGATCACTAGTTGAGGTAAAAGATGAGCCAAGTTTGAGTTTCTTCGAGATTTTTTGTCGGTTTCAAAATTCAGAAATAAAAGCGTGCGGAAAAGGGAAAAGGGGTTTCACACAACGGGGATTAATTACATCCATTAACTTTTGGACAAATTACTTAACTACACAACTTT